GTTAATCTTAACCCTTTGACTGTTTCAGGCCCCTCTCTGAAACTGTCATTCTATGTCGCTCAATTTTTGAAAAAAAAAAAAATTATTTTTTCTTATGAAATGATAGAGAATCTTTTCCCGATGGTAATGACACCAAAAGTTCGAAATTTGGTCGAAAACTCGTGGAATTATGGTCCCGCGAAGTTAGCGGTCTCGGCGACATATGCGTATCGGCGATTTCGCCGACTTTGAGCCCTATTTTCAGCCAATTCCATTGTTCCAGTTGACCAAACTCATAGCTATTTCTTTAGAACTCCATTTTATCTATCAGCTGAGTACAAGAAACCTCCCATTTACTAATTTGGACTACCCAATATGGTGGTCAGAAATTGGCAATTTGGCCAATTTCACGCAAAATAAAAAAGATGCCAATTTCAAAATAGGGTCCAGAATAAACAAGGTAGACATTCGTGGCACTAAAATAACATATGCTCTGTTCATTAGTCACATCTCTAGGCCCCTCTTATATTATTATTGCTTTCTATTTTGATTTTTTATTCATACAAAAAAATACAAAATTTACTGTTATGCAGACGACTGCATTATTGTAAAAATGGTATAAATAATATCAGTGCACTAGTGAAAGAATATTAGACTCCCTAGTTGACGTGTATTGGACTTGTGGTGTGATTTATTTACTCTTCAACATTGGTAAAAATCGAACATTTTCGCTACTTTGAGCTTAGTTTCAAGGTCGTTTTCATCGTAAAAGTAATGAAAATCATTTCTATTTCTGTAATATGTTTTTCATTTTATCACCTAAGACCATGAAAACGCGAATACAACGATAAATACTATACGAAAATACACCTCAAAGTCGGCGTTTTATTCCAAAAAAACGATCAGAGTTTTTTTTTTCTCATTACGCAATGTGTGCTGCAGGATTTTTTTTATGTGGTGCACACTGACCACACAGACCCATTCTCTCACATGTGGGCCTACCAGCTTTCTCCCACTTGATTTGAAGCCGCTAGAATTATTGAGTATATATACGTCAGAAACATTGGCTCGTAAGACGTATTTATACGTCGAAAACAGTCAAAGGGTTAAGTTAATTTTAAGCCAGCCCGTAATGCTATGCATAGTATAAGTGGCTTTGGCATGCTGCTCTTATCTGTATTTTTTGTACCTCTGTATGTGTGCTCAAATTGTAAATAAATAAATAAATAAATAAATAAATTGTGTTGGTCCAGATATGGTCAAGTAACGAGGCACTTGTCTCAGAGATTCTTGTTGGCTTTGTTATAGAGGGTAGCAACAAGCTGTTGTTCATCGCATTTGCGAAATCAGCTACTGGAGGGTCAGTTGCTTGGGTAAGGTTGATGTTGAAGTCTCCTGCTAGTATCAGATGGTGTTTATTCAACTCTGACTCAATTATCATGTTTCTAAGGTTACTGTAAACGTAAGTATTTGAGTGTGGTAGTCTGTAGACTGCACCAACTGTTATAGGTTTCTTAAGTGTTCTTGATGTGAATTTAGCTATTATATATTCACCATTTTCGTCCTGTACATTAGTTGATTTCATACATTCTAGTTCATCAGAGTAATAGATGGCAGTTCCTCCTCCTGATTGGTCGGGCCTGCAGTTATGTATGGCTGTGTACCCAAGTATGGTAAATGTGTCTGTCAAATCTTGTCTGAGCCAGGTTTCAGTAAGTATAATGAAAGTTATAGTAGCATTGAGAGACTTAGGAAGTGCAATGAGGTCATCATAGTGTGTACTCAATGATCTAACATTGTAGTTGAAGACTTTAATGTTCTTGCTGACACTGAGAAGGGTATTAGCCTGACTAGCAGTGTAGTAATGGCAATTACTGTTTGGATTATGTGTGCAGTTCACTAAGAGGTTGATATCAGGATCGATAATTGCAATCATAAGGGGTACGTAGAGAAATAGCTGTTACAATTAATAAAAAATAAAAAGACAAAAGCAAATGATGTTAAACCACTAACAGTTATGAACCAAGATAATTATTTTAAATCTAAAAATAATGGAGCTGCTGAATATTAAAATAAAACACTTTAGCACCTTGATTATTTCTAAGTTAAAAGTAATGGTTTTGAGTATAAAATAAAACAGAGAATAAAACACTTAAGTACCTGGATTAGAACCTAAAATAGCACCTTAGGTGTCTTAAGTAGCTGGGAATTAATTACTTTTATTCACTAACAGGCATGAAAATATGGATTAAAATAAGGGTAAATTCTTCTATACTACAGCACTGAACATGGTTGATAATGTGTTGAGATATGGCTTAACAAGGTTCAATCAAACCAGTGATTGTGAGGAAACATGCTAGTTCTTGATCATTTGTTATTTCAAACCTAAGACCCGTGTCTGATAATTTTACGACGATAATGCCATCACGAGTAAAACACTGTTTTATTGATGCATTATCCCGCTTAAGTTTTTGAAGTCTGTATAATAGGTTCTGACGTTTTTTAGTTAGGCATTCATTTATATACACATTACTCCTTTTCTTGATAAAGGAACTTATTAGATCATTTTTTAGATCAATTGAATTGAATTTTAACCTAACACTTTGCTTTTGACCCGGCTTGCCTAGCAGTCGGGTCTCCTTGATATTACTGGTTTTAATGTTAACTTTTATCTCATCTTTTATTAGTTGGAGTGCTTTGATGGTGCAATTCTCATTGTTTGTATCTGGTGGTAAGGTACCTGGAGTTTACCTGGAGAGAGTTCCGGGGGTCAACGCCCCCGCAGCCCGGTCTGTGACCAGGCCTCCTGGTGGATCAGAGCCTGATCAACCAGGCTGTTGCTGCTGGCTGCACGCAAACCAACGTACGAGCCACAGCCCGGCTGATCAGGAACTGACTTTAGGTGCTTGTCCAGTGCCAGCTTGAAGACTGCCAGGGGTCTGTTGGTAATCCCCCTTATGTGTGCTGGGAGGCAGTTGAACAGTCTCGGGCCCCTGACACTTATTGTATGGTCTCTTAACGTGCTAGTGACACCCCTGCTTTTCATTGGGGGGATGGTGCATCGTCTGCCAAGTCTCTTGCTTTCGTAGTGAGTGATTTTCGTGTGCAAGTTCGGTACTAGTCCCTCTAGGATTTTCCAGGTGTATATAATCATGTATCTCTCCCTCCTGCGTTCCAGGGAATACAGGTTTAGGAACCTCAAGCGCTCCCAGTAATTGAGGTGTAAAATGAGCTGGTTAAAATGACAGAGTCTAGGAGCTTGTCTTGTTCAGTCATATTCCTTTGATACTGGAAGCATGCATACCACTGGGATTCCATGTTTAAATTCCAATCTTGTGTAGCTTCTGACAGCTTGGTAATGAGGGAATTTATTTGTTTGGTATGTGTGTCTATAGTTGAGTGCAGGTTTGTATGTTCTTTAGATGAGTTTATTAATGATGTCAGTTGTTTTCTAGTTCACTAATCTTTGAGTTTTGTGTCGTAAGATGGCATTCAAGGTCTTTAATCCTCGTGTTTTGGGTATATAAGAGAGTGCTCTAGTTCCCCAATGAGTTTTTCATAGGTTTCATTTTGCCGTCTTAGCATACTATTTTCCTGTAGAATTTTATCAATGGAGTTGGGTTGTTGTTGAGGACTGAATTCCTGGGCTATATCTTTGGGTGTTGACGAGTTTTAATCTATGTTGCCATTTGGGGTGAAGAGATCTCGGTTGTTATCCATAGTTGTAGACAAGTCAGCTTGGGTGTGAGCCATGGATGAGGATGAATGTTGAGAGAATCCGGAGAAAGTTTTGGAGATGTCTGCCATTGTTGTTGTTGTGTTGGTCTGGGTGGAGGTGAGGAGGGGTGGAAGATGCGCTGGCATCCTTCAGGGTAGACATTATGGGTAACAGTTTTCTAGGAGGTTTCATGTCTGACTTGGTGTTGCTTTTTCTATTTTTGTATCCCATGAGAACACTAGTGGAGTTGAAATAGAGTTACTGTAGTGGCAACTGTTGCTTGGCTGGTATTACATCTTGTGAGTAACCCATATTCGTTTCAATATTTTATGTTTAAAACAATAATTTATTGTGAGTGTTCTCATTATCTGTGTGATGAGTTTCTGTGTACATGTATATATGATGTCTACTTTATGTATGTGTGTACAGTGTATAAATGTTTTAAGTAGTAGGTTGGTAGACAGTGACCACCCAGGGGAGGTACCACCATCATGCCAGGTGAGTGTAAAAAACAGAAGCCTGTAATTGTTTTGCATGATGGTAGGATTTCTGGTGTCTTTTTTTGTCTCATAAACATGCAAAGTTTCAGGTATGTCTTATTACTTCTACTTATACTTAGGTCATGCTACACATGCATGTACAGGCATATATATACACATCTCTCTGGGTTTTCTTCTATGTTCTTACTAGTTCTTGTTTATTTCCTCTTATCTCCATGGGAAAGCGGAACAGAATTCTTCCTCCATAAGCCATGCATGTCGTAAGAGGTGACTAAAATGCTGGGAGCAAAGGGCTAGAAACCCCTTCTCCTGTATACATTATTAAATTTAAAAAGAAACTTTTGTTTTTCTTTTTGGGCCACCCTACTTCGGTGGGATACGGCCGGTACATTGAAAGAGAAAGTGTATATATGTACAGTTATATCAAATTTTCACACGAGTACACATCTGCAGGTATGAACACATGGTTGCCAGTAAGCTTTGGCAAAGAGAAGGTAAAAGGTCACAGTCTCAAACTGAGAAAAACAGTGCAGGAAAATGTATTAGAGAGTATTTCTGTGTGAAGAGTGGTAGAACAAATTAATGGGATATAAAATAGGTAGTGTATACTAAGTGCTGCTGCAACTGCTGAGATTAAAAAAAGTTACAGTAACCACCAAAAAAATAGAACACCATGAACATAGATATGCTCCTGTAGCTACAAATAGGTAATTGCACAGAAATACATATTGTTATTTCTTGAACTGATTTTTGTAAAGCCATGAGTGCAAAAGGGATATACTAACCTGTGATATGGTTGACAGATTGTTGACCTGGTAGGTAGCAGCTCCCATTGCAAGTACCGGTGGCGGAACATGGCAGGGGATGTGCTGGAGGGTGTTCAGTGCATGGAGACACTATTGGTGGCACCTAGATACACAAGCCCTTCTAATGTTCTCAACATCACCCTTGCTATGTCCCTCACACACACTGCCACTGCAGCATTCAACCCTGCTGCTTATGAATGTAAGTCACTGTAATTTCACTGGTTGTTATATATTAGTATATTTATACATGTATTTGTTTATTTTTAATTGACTTTTCACTTGGTCAAAGGTGAATTACCTGTGGAAAATACTGTATATATTTTCCAGAAATACAGTAGTTATATGTATATAGGTAGTAGGTTGGTAGACAGCAACCACCCAGGGAGGTACTACCGTCCTGCCAAGTGAGTGTAAAATGAAAGCCTGTAATTGTTTTACATGATGGTAGGATTGCTGGTGTCTTTTGTCTATCTCATAAATATGCAAGATTACAGGTACGTCTTGCTACTTCTACTTACACTTAGGTCACACTACACATACATGTACACGTTTATTTATACACACTCATCTGAGTTTTCTTTGATTTTATCTTAATAGTTCTTGGTCTTATTACTTTTCCTTTTATATCCATGGGGAAGTGGAATAAGAATCTTTCCTCCGTAAGCCATGCGTGTTGTAAAAGTCAACTAAAATGCCGGGAACAATGGGCTAGTAACCCTTTTTCCTGTAAAGATTTCTGAAAAGAATAAGAAGAAGAAAATTGTCAAAGTGGGAAGTCTGAATGTGCGTGGATGTTGTGCAAATGATAAGAAAGAGATGATTGTGGATGTTATGAATGATAAGAAACTGGATGTCCTGGCTTTAAGTGAAACAAAGCTGAAGGGGGTGGGAGAGTTTCAATGGAGAGGAATAAATGGGATTAGGTCAGGGGTTTCAAATAGAGTTAGAGCTAAAGAAGGAGTAGAAATAATGTTGAAGGATAAGCTATGGCAGGAAAAGAGGGACTACAAATGCATAAATTCAAGGATTATGTGGAGTAAAATAAAGATTGGATGTGAAAAGTGGGTTATAGTAAGCGTATATGCACCTGGAGAAGAGAGAAGTGTAGAGGAGAGAGAGAGATTCTGGGAAATGTTGAGTGAATGCGTGGGTAGTTTTGAATCTAGTGTGAGAGTAATGGTGGTTGGGGATTTCAATGCTAAAGTGGGTAAAAATGTTATGGAGGGAGTAGTAGGTAAATTTGGGGTGCCAGGGGTAAATGTAAATGGGGAGCCTTTAATTGAGCTATGTGTAGAAAGAAATTTGGTAATAAGTAATACATATTTTTATGAAAAAGAGGATAAATAAATATACAAGGTATGATGTAGCACGTAATGAAAGTAGTTTGTTAGATTATGTATTGGTGGATGAAAGGTTGATGGGTAGGCTCCAGGATGTACATGTTTATAGAGGGGCAACTGATATATCAGATCATTATTTAGTTGTAGCTACAGTTAGAATAAGAGGTAGATGGGAAAAGAGGAAGGTGGCAACAACAAGTAAGAGGGAGGTGAAAGTGTATAAACTAAGGGAGGAGGAAGTTCGGGCGAGATATAAGCGACTATTGGCAGAAAGGTGGGCTAGTGCAAAGATTAGTGGGGGGGTTGAAGAGGGTTGGAATAGTTTTAAAAATGCAGTATTAGAATGTGGGGCAGAAGTTTGTGGTTATAGGAGGGTGGGGGCAGGAGGAAAGAGGAGTGATTGGTGGAATGATGAAGTAAAGGGTGTGATAAAAGAGAAAAAGGTAGCTTACGAGAGGTTTTTACAAAGCAGAAGTGTTATAAGAAGAGCAGTGTATATGGAGAGTAAAAGAAAGGTGAAGAGAGTGGTGAGAGAGTGCAAAAGGAGAGCAGATGAAAGAGTGGGAGAGGCACTGTCAAGAAATTTTAATGAAAATAAGAAAAAATTTTGGAGTGAGTTAAACAAGTTAAGAAAGCCTTGGGAAAGTATGGATTTGTCCGTTAAAAACAGAGTAGGGGAGTTAGTAGATGGGGAGAGGGAGGTATTAGGTAGATGGCGAGAATATTTTGAGGAACTTTTAAATGTTGAGGAAGAAAGGGAGGCGGTAATTTCATGCACTGGCCAGGGAGGTATACCATCTTTTAGGAGTGAAGAAGAGCAGAATGTAAGTGTGGTGGAGGTACGTGAGGCATTACGTAGAATGAAAGGGGGTTAAAGCAGCTGGAACTGATGGGATCATGACAGAAATGTTAAAAGCAGGGGAGGATATAGTGTTGGAGTGGTTGGTACTTTTGTTTAATAAATGTATGAAAGAGGGGAAGGTACTAGGGATTGGCGGAGAGCATGTATAGTCCCTTTATATAAAGGGAAAGGGGACAAAAGAGATTGTAAAAATTATAGAGGAATAAGTTTACTGAGTATACCAGGAAAGTATACGGTTAGAGTTATAATTGAAAGAATTAGAGGTAAGACAGAATGTAGAATTGCAGATGAGCAAGGAGGCTTCAGAGTGGGTAGGGGATGTGTAGATCAAGTGTTTACATTGAAGCATATATGTGAACAGTATTTAGATAAAGGTAGGGAAGTTTTTATTGCATTTATGGATTTAGAAAAGGCATATGATAGAGTGGATAGAGGAGCAATTGTGCAGATGTTGCAAGTATATGGAATAGGTGGTAAGTTACTAAATGCTGTAAAGAGCTTTTATGAGGATAGTGAGGCTCAGGTTAGGGTGTGTAGAAGAGAGGGAGAATACTTCCCGGTAAAAGTAGGTCTTAGACAGGGATGTGTAATGTCACCATGGTTGTTTAATATATTTATAGATGGGGTTGTAAAAGAAGTAAATGCTAGGGTGTTCAGGAGAGGGGTGGGATTAAATTATGGGGAATCAAATTCAAAATGGGAATTGACACAGTTACTTTTTGCTGATGATACTGTGCTTATGGGAGATTCTAAAGAAAAATTGCAAAGGTTAGTGGATGAGTTTGAGAATGTGTGTAAAGGTAGAAAGTTGAAAGTGAACATAGAAAAGAGTAAGGTGATGAGGGTATCAAATGATTTAGATAAAGAAAAATTGGATATCAAATTGGGGAGGAGGAGTATGGAAGAAGTGAATGTTTTCAGATACTTGGGAGTTGACGTGTCGGCAGATGGATTTATGAAGGATGAGGTTAATCATAGAATTGATGAGGGAAAAAAGGTGAGTGGTGCGTTGAGGTATATGTGGAGTCAAAAAAACGTTATCTATGGAGGCAAAGAAGGGAATGTATGAAAGTATAGTAGTACCAACACTCTTATATGGATGTGAAGCTTGGGTGGTAAATGCAGCAGCGAGGAGACGGTTGGAGGCAGTGGAGATGTCCTGTCTAAGGGCAATGTGTGGTGTAAATATTATGCAGAAAATTCGGAGTGTGGAAATTAGGAGAAGGTGTGGAGTTAATAAAAGCATTAGTCAGAGGGCAGAAGAGGGGTTGTTGAGGTGGTTTGGTCATTTAGAGAGAGTGGATCAAAGTAGAATGACATGGAAAGCATATAAATCTATAGGGGAAGGAAAGAGGGGTAGGGTCGTCCTCGAAAGGGTTGGAAAGAGGGGGTAAAGGAGGTTTTGTGGGCGAGGGGCTTGGACTTCCAGCAAGCGTGCATGAGCGTGTTAGACAGGAGTGAATGGAGACGAATGATACTTGGGACCTGACGATCTGTTGGAGTGTGAGCAGGGTAATATTTAGTGAAGGGATTCAGGGAAACCGGTTATTTTCTTATAGTCGGACTTGAGTCCTGGAAATGGGAAGTACAATGCCTGCACTTTAAAGGAGGGGTTTGGGATATTGGCAGTTTGGAGGGATATGTTGTGTATCGTTATACGTATATGCTTCTAAACTGTTGTATTCTGAGCACCTCTGCAAAGGCAGTGATAATGTGTGAGTGTGGTGAAAGTGTTGAATGATGATGAAAGTATTTTCTTTTTGGGGATTTTCTTTCTTTTTTGGGTCACCCTGCCTCGGTGGGAGACGACCAACTTGTTGAAAAAAAAAAAAAAAATCTTCCATTCTTTCAAATGAGACCAAAAAAATGAGAAAACAACCATAAAAACCATTTGAAATTACCGCTAAGGGGTGGCTAATTGCTGAGAAGTGAACTCCATTATTTATGCTTAGATTTCTTTCATTATTATTATTATTAGTATTATTATTATTATTATTATTATTATCATCATTATCATTATTATTATTATCGTCATTATCATTATTATTATTATATAAATTGTAATTTTTATTCACACAAAAAATATAAGATTTACTGTGACGTCATTTGTTTACACTGAAACAGCCAAGCAATGGACCATTTCTCCTAGGTTGAGCTCTATTTCAAGGTACTTTTCATCATGAAAGCAATCAAAATCATATCTCTTTCTGTAATATATCTTCCATTCTATCAAATGAGACCAAACAAACGAGAATACAACCATAAAAACCATTCAAAATTACCGCTAAGGAGTGGCTAATTGCTGAAAAGTGAATTCCATTATTTATGCTTAGAGTTTTCATATTTGGTGTACGTTAAGAAGCATCTTTCCATCATACATTGCCCAAGTTTCAATAAGATAGTCCAACAAACAAATGAGATGCAATTCCCGAGATCAAGAGCAAGAGCCCCTCACCAGTGTCAAGGAACCTGCCTTGAGGTCTGCTCGCTTGTGGAAATTTTGCTCGCGTATGGAAGCAAAAAATCGACCCATCGACTGCTCGTATTTGGAAAAACTCGCAAGTAGAGGTTCCACTGTATTTGCACACTTATTGAGGATTTAATACTTGGTGCTGTGTCCTTTATGCTTAATCACATCCCTCAGCTATGTAGGAAGACTCACACAAATTCTTGAGGGTTTGGGGAGGTGTATTATTCCATGCCTCATGTAGAGCAGCCTCCAGCCATGTGATGGAACTGATATCCTTGCCCAGTAAACTTTGATTCACTATTGACCAGAGGTTCTCAATAGGGTTTAGGTCTGGGGAATTGCCTGGCCAGTCATTAACGAACCTTACTTCACAGTTCTTAAACCACTGAACTACAGATTTGGCAATGACACAGTGCACCATCCTGCATAAAAACCGTAGCCCCACACTTGCCAGACACCTCAGGTAAATTGTCACACAATAACTCCAGGTAACTATACTGGTTCATATACTGGTTTTTGGGAAACACAATGAGTTTACCAACACTCTGAGCACTGAAACACCCCTAACCATGAGCAAGTCTAAGTGTTTGGTGGTCCCACAGGTGTAACGTGGGTCTAGTGGGTCACTACCTCTGGGCCGGTCCACATGTCCCCCACGGTTACAGGTGACGGTGAAGGTTGCTTCATCACTCCAAAGTACTGCAGACCACTGTTGAGAATTCCAGTGAAGATATTTCTTTGTGGCTTGGAGAGGATCGGTTTCTTAACCTGGCGGTGACTAGTGTAGCCCAGTTCTGACACATGTCTGTTAACAGTTCTTAAAGACACCTCTGAGAGAAGATGTGGGTTCTTTTTTTCCAATTCTCTAGCAGTTATCTTAAGAGTACTCTCTAACTGCTTCTTTAACACAGTTAAGGTACAAACAGATGTCTTCTTCGAGGGGCCAGGCCAAGGTTTGGCAGACGGTAACATGACACTGCCACCAGCCTTGAAATGCTGCACCCAGTTCCTCACTGAATGCTCACACACACCAACATTCACCACCATTTCTTTCGTCTGGTGCCCAGCTTTGTGAAGCCCTATGATTTGAGCTATAGTTTTAAAGTCTTCCTCTTACCCATAATCAAACATGTATAGCCCCAAAACCGAAGGGAACACCAGACAAAAGATGGGGCGGATGAGAGACAAAAGTGCAATACTTCCTATCACCACGGCAGCCACATGAGCACTGAGGAGTCACTGTGGAGCGTGGTGGCAGGCTGTGACATCATGCTAACTGCTGCTACCTGGCATAATGCACTGATGAAAAAAGACCCCCCTTGTATGGTAGGCTTTTGATTTTTGTCACGGCATTATGCTGGGGCGCTCACCCAGCATAATGCCGTGGCGCTCACCCAGCATAATGCCGTGGCGCTCACCCAGCATAATGCCGTGAATAGCACTCTAGGTAATGAAAGATAGGATATCATATTGGAAGGAGGGGTGTGGAGGAATTGGATGTATTCAGATATTTAGGAGTGAACTTCTCAGCAGATGGGTCTTTGAGAGACAAGGTGAATCATAGGATTGATGAGGGAAAACAGTGGTGCACTGAAGAGTCTTTGGAGACAAAGAACATTATCCATGGCAGCAAAGAGGGGAATGTATGAAAGTATAGAGGTACCAATGCTCTTATGTGGGTGTGAAGCATGGGTGGTGAATATTGCAACAAGGAAAAGTCTAGAGGCAGTGGTACCAATGCTCTTATGTTAATGTGAAGCATGAATGGTGAATATTGCAATAAGGAGAAGGCTGGAGGCAGTGGAGATGTCATGTCTGAGAGCAGTGTGTGGTGTCAATATTATGCAAAGAATCCGTAGCTTGGAGATTAGAAAGAGGTGCAGGGTTTCTAAAAGTATTATCCAGAGGGTTAAGTATGGGTTTTTGAGATGGTTTGGACATTTAGAGAGGATGGAAGAAAATAGAATAACTTGGAGTGTGTATAAATTTGTAGTGGAAGGATGACAGAGAAGGGGGTCGTACTAGGAACGGTTGGGGAGAAGGGTTTATGTAAAGGAGGTTTTGCGTGCAAGGGGCTTAGACTTCCAGCAAGTGTGTTAGATGGGAGAGAGTGGAGGAAAATGGTTTTTATGACTTGACATGCTGTTGGGGTGCGAGCAAAGTAATATTTATAAAGAGATTCAGGAAAATTGGTTAATTGGACTTGAGTCCTGGAGATGGAAAGTACAGTGCCTGTACTCTGAAAAAGGGGTGGGGATATTACAGTTTGGAGAGACATCTGAGTTATAGTGTTGATGTGCCTCTGGCAAAAAAATTAATGGAGTGAATAATGGTGAATGAAAGAGTTTCTTCTTTTTTGAGTCACCCAATTTTGGTGGGAGATGGCTGGTGTGTTAAAAAATATTGAAATGCAATGTCTTATCTTTTGGTTAACAAATAAGAGTTTAGAAGCTTCATTATAAAACCATAAAGTACAGTTTATATTTTTGGAAAATAATGACAACAATATAAATTTTCCAAGACAAAAATACTGGAAATCTGCTTCTAACTCAGGAATGCAGATTTTGTTTTTATGACTTGACAACAGGCCAGCATCTTATTAAATAATAACAACATGCCATTTTCAATTTAAGAATAATCAAGACATAATTTTCAGACCTACAAGAAGCCACTGAAACAACAGACTTGCTGTACCAGCCATTGTCGTACCAGGCAGAAGGTATTAATCATGCTGTTTTCACCAAGAAGCATTATTCTATATGTGTATGAAAATAAGTTGTTGCTCTAACAGAATATTTTAAACAAACGTATCAATGGTGATACAACCTTATGTCATGTTGCGTTCCCACAGGTGAGGATGAGGACGTGATAAAATTAATGAAAGAGGTTTGCTCAATAGAGGGTGATGGGCGTCTCACAGGCGGCCTCTTGCAAAAAATGTCACAAGTGATGAAGGTCCTGTCTCGCACCACCACTGAGCTGCCTCTTCTCATTACAACCTGCTCCACTAATGTAAGGTAAATTACCACCTTAACTTACTTTTATTATCATCAAGTGTATTATCATTCCTACAGTATGTTTTGCAGATAGTTTTTTGCAAACACTGTCAGGAGTGTTTATATAAAATGCTATTGTTTATAATCTGTATATTGGAGTTTTGGTAGAAGGCCATGTAGTTTTTGCTTCTCATTTTTTTGAATTATAACTCCAAAGTGCATTTTCAAATTTACCTTAAATTTTAATTTTTGGGTATTGTTATGAAAAGATCTTATAAAAGATAGCAGTATAGGTCCTTTTTTTTTTTCTTCATCATAGCTTTCATCTCTTGACAACATCATAAAACTTGTTCATATACATCAACTTTCTATGCATTTCCAAGTCTTAAAGCAGTGTTACTGATGCCCACCTTTTCCAACTTATTTGCTTAAAAAGTTTTTGCATAACACACTGTTTAAAGATACAGTAGGGCCCCACTTATATGGCGGGTTAGGCTCCAGGCTGTCGCCGGAAAGCAGACATCGCCGGAAGGCAGAACGCCATTTTTTTCCATTTATAAATGCATATAAATGCCAGACAACAAGTATACACTAAATTATATTAAGTTAGTAATAGAACCAGGCATTAAAAACACACAAAGTAAAATACATTCACAGTAAATTCATTACGTATCTTAAAGTATTTGTAATCTTAATGTAGGGAGAGAGTTGAGTAGTACTTATTTGTAGGAAGTCAGGTGCAGGTAGCCCAGGTGTAGGTAGCCCTGGCTCCCCGTCTCATACTTAATATATGATATTTAAAACATCCCAGAGAGGTAAAACACACATACAGTACACCCATTATTTACCTTAAAATATGTGTAGTCTTAATATAGGAAGAGAGGTGAGTAATATTTATTTGTAGGAAGTCAATGTAGGTAGCCTGTAGGTGTAGCCCGCCTGGGCTACACCTACCGGCTACCTACACTGTGGCCCAGAGCCATATTATTAACATCGACATGCCTTGTTCACTGAATTTAATCATTTCTAACAACTACCTATAGATGCCATCATAAATGAAGGTAGAAGTAATGAATAATTTATGCCGAAAATTGTAAACAAAAGCGGAGTGAGGGAGTGGCTGGGCCAAACCCAGATTCATACACGTTTTCTCTGATGGCTGAGCAGAGAAAACGTAATGTTGTCCCTCCACCCGGCTACCACACAGCTCCACAAGTATTATTATCAGAGCACACATAAAATATGCAATAACTGCCAGACAACAAGTTTACACTAACGTATATTAAGTAAGCAATAGAAATAGGCATTAAAAATGCAATAAAAGGTAAGATACACAGAGTACACTTATTACTTACCTTAAAATATTAATATTAATGTGTGAGAGGTGAGTGGCAGGGTGTTTATTGAATAAAATCAGAATGGCACACCATCATCCTCTAACTTGGCACTTAAAGCAAGAGGCTTACGACTTCTCTTTTTATCACAGCTAACCTTAGACGCCATCGTCAATGAGAGCCAACTAGTTAATGAAAGAGTAAACGAGAGAGAGAACGAGATACAGAGTTGAGACAATGTAAGAACACAGACTGAAAAGGTAGTGGACGATCAATTGGTCAGGCGAAATAAATGCGTATTAATATGTATCTACTTTTAGTTCATTCACGTACGTTTGTAAGAGTTTGTAAAACATTTACCTCAATATTTTTTTTATTATAATAATACATAATTACCTCACAGTACAAATACTCTTACATTGTGTACAAGTTGTACAAGTTAGTTCAGAATAAACAAACAGCAACACACCATTTTTAGAGTGAATGAAGATAATAATAATATTAATAATAATAATAATATTATTATTATTATTGTTATTATTATTATTATTTATTTATTATAAAAAGCACTAAACCCACAAGGGTCGTGAATTGCTATATATAGAGTAAAGGCATATGAAAAGAATATTTTTCTGCAGTTACCCCCCAGTGTTTGACTAGAGAAAACGTAATTCTTCCGACACTACCTACACAGCTGCTTGGTAAACAAATTTCATATTTACATCAATTTTTATTCTGTGAGTGTATGTATCATGTTTATATGCTATGTAATGGGTTTCATATATAATTTTGAGGAAAATATCATAGATGGATTAATGAAAATGCCTATATTGATGGAAAATAAGACATTTAGTGTACCAAAGAGTGGTTATTATTACGTAGTATTGGCATCATGAGTAGAGAGAGACTTAGCGATTTTATTGTGTACCTGCACACCAGCACAGTGTGTAAGTATATTTAGGTACAGGTACACATAAGTATAATTATCAGAGTACATATAAAATATGCAGTAACTTTAAAACACTTGAATGGAAAGTTTCCTGACATAATAGATGAGGTCACGGAAAATGTAAACAAACCAGGTGGGGGGGCGCCGTATTTGAAAGACCGCTTGCCGTATAGCAAATTTTGGTCATAATTTGACATTGCCGTATTAGTGGAACGCCATAAGGCAAAACGCCGTAAAGCGGGGCTTTACTGTATATAACTACATATCATGGCATTTGAGGGTGTACTGTAATGATAATCTAGCCCACTTGACATATAGCTTGGAATTAGCAGATGGACGAGTGAGCATAAACTACTCATTGCAATGAATGACTTACACAGGTTGATGGCTTTATCTCCTACCTTAGTGGGAGATGGCTGATATAAAAAAAAATGATAATAATTATAGCTGTCATTGTCATCATCAGTTAATCACCTTTCTCCCAAGAGTTACAACAACATGCTGTTTAACAATGAGAGGTTTAGCTGCTCCACATTGTTTATTTTGGATTCAGATTTTAAATTGGTATTTTTTTTAATTTTGTGTAAAATTGGCCAAATAACCAACTTATGTGCACTTTACAGGGTAGTTGAAGTAGTTGAATGAGTGGTTTCTTGTGCTCAGTTGACTGAAGGAAAGTGAATACAGTCCAATATTAATTTTGGGGTCTGGACAGTGAAAAGGTTAAGGCAGGTGAGATTGCTGAGTTAGTCAATGGTCACTTGAGGTCACAGGTCCTGAGCTGCTTTGGGGATTAGTGTGGAGGGTTACAAAGCCATGGCTTGCTTCTGCAATGTTTTAAAATCTGAGGTTAGAGAGTTGAAGGAGGAGGTCCTACTTCTCCAGGAGGTTCACCTCGATGGGTTTGAGTGTGAGATGGCTGGAGTGGTTGAGGGGAATGAGGCTACCAGCAGTGAAGTGCAATCTGTCACTTGCTGCAAGGAGGCTGAAGGTGGGGAGAGCAAAAAGGCTCCCAGTAGTGAGGAGCAGTCCAGCACCTGCTACAAGTGGCAGGAAAGGAAATCGCTTCTCTGTTCTTCAGGATGAGTGTACTTCATTGGTCAGTGAAAGTAAAGGTACAACTTCCCCTGCTAATAGAGGTAAGCAAATTCTAGTGGTTGGTGACTCACAGGCAAGATATATGGACTGTGCTTTCTGTAATAGAAATAAGAAGGTGAGAGAGAGAGTGTGCTTCCCTGGAGCTGGTATTGATGACATAGTAAACAGGTTGGATAATATCATGTCAGGTAATGGGAACAAGCCCATTATCTGTCTCAGTGCTGGTGCAAATAATATTGGGAAGGGTAGGAGAGAAGAGCTGCTAGATAAATACAGGTCAGCTATAAATTTAATTAGGTCTAAGGGAGGGGTCCCAATCATATGTAGCATCTTGCCTAGAAGGGGAGTGGGCAGTGAATGGTTGTCTAGGGCAATTGGTGTAATTTGCTGGCTAAACAGATATTGCAAGGAACTTGCAATCCCATTCATTGACAACTGGGACAACTTTTATGGCAAACTTGTATGCAAGGGATGGGATACATCTCTCTGGGGCAGGGTGGTAGCACTTGCCAACTCAATTGCACAGGCTATTGGTGATATGTCTAGGATTTTAAACTGATAGAAGATAGAGGTATGGGTGTGTGTGCAAAACAGTCAGGTTGCAACACTAGGGTTGAAAACTCTAAATGTTTAAAAGACATTCATCATGAAGTTACAAATAAAAACAATGGATCAGGTCAGCAAATAAAGGGAGACAACAGAGGGCAGCAGGAGACTAGCTCCCTTAACAGCAGGAGTGTAAGAAATAAGATAGATGAGCTAAGATTAATTGCAAGTGCAGGAAACATAGATACTATTGCTATAACAGAAACCTGGCTCAATCTGAAAGATAGAGAAATGCCTTCTGAATGTCACATACAAGGCTGTAAATTATTCCACACTGATAGGGTCAACAGGAAGGGTGGTGGAGTAGCGATGTGTGTCCAAGACAATTGAAATTGTTGTGTTAGACAAGATATAAAATTAGAAGCATCAGCCATTGAATCTGTTTGGTTACAGCTTCTCGAGGGCTATGAAAAACTAATCTTGGGTGTGATTTACAGGTCCCCAAACCTTGATAGGGAGTGCAGTAAACTTCTATGGAACGAAATTCATAAGGCATCTACATACGAAAATGTTGTGTTAATGGGAAATTTTAACTTTAGACAAATTTACTGGAGCAGTTTGACAGGAAATTTAGTCAAGTGACTTTCTTGATACAATTCAGATTTGTTTTTAAAACAGTTTGTGACAGAACCAACTAGAAGAAATAATCTACTTGAATTGGTTCTTGCCAGCTGGGAATTGCTAATTAATAATCTTGAGGTTAGTGATGAGCTTGGGGAAAGTGATCACAAATCACTCAGTTTTAATATATCATGGTATTACCCTAATAATGGCAGTCAAGTCTCTGTCCCTGACTTCCACTTGGCTGATTTCATAGGACTGAGAAATTACCTGGGTGGCCTGACTATGGGTCAGGTAGGTGGTGATGGTTGCCGATATGACGTGTTCCAGAGCATAGTTCTAGCTGCTCAGTCAACTTATGTTCCAAATAGGGAAATCAGATCAAACAGAAATTATCCTAAATGGATAAACAAAAGATTGAAACATCTCACTGGTCAAAAGAGAGGCAATTACATAGGCAAATCAAAAGAGGAGAAGGGCAGTTAAGAAAGCAATATATTCAGTTAGAGAGAGAAATAAAAAAGGGAATAAGAGCAAAAAGTGATTATGAGGTTAAAGTGGCAAGAGAATAGAAGACTAACCCGAAAGGATTCTTTCAGGTATACAGAAGTAAGATCAGGGACAAGATAGGCCCACTCAAAAGTTACTTGGGTCAGCTCAGAGACAGTGATAAGGAATTGTGCAGAATTTTTAGCACTTCCTCTCAGTTTTTACACAGGAAGATACTAGCAATATTCCAGAAATTATAAATTATGTAAAACAGGACAATAATAAACTATGCATGATTAGGGTCACAAATGACATGGTCCTTAGACAAACAGATAAATTAAAACCTAACAAATGCCCAGGCCCTGATGACCTTTATGCAAGGGTTCCAAAGGAATGTAAAGAGGAGCTTAGCAAACCTTTGGCTAATCTTTTCAACATATCACTACAAACTGGCATGGTGCCAGACAAGTGGAAAATGGCAAATGTGATACCTATTTTCAAAGCAGGTGACAGGTCCTTACCTTCAAACTATAGACCAATAAGCTTAACCTCCATAGTGGGAAAATTTATGGAATCAATAATTGCTGAGGCAATTTGTAGCCATCTTGAAAAACATAAATTGATCAATGAATCTCAGCATGGTTTTACAAAAGGGCATTCCTGCCTTTCGAATTTATTAATTTTTGTCTTAAAATAGTTGAGGAGGTAGATCATGGTAATGAATATGATATTGTGTACATGGATTTCAGTAAGGCTTTTTGATAGTTCCACATCAGAGACTATTGAGGAAAATTAAGGCACACTGAATAGGAGGAGAAATTTTTTCCTGGATAGATGCATGGTTGACAGATAGGCAGCAGAAAGAGTGCATAAATGGGGAGAAATCGGAGTGGAGAAAGGTCATGAGCAGTGTTCCACAGGGATCAGTGTTGGGCCTCTTGTTGTTCACAATCTACATAATGACATAGATGAGGGAATAAATAGCGGTATAAACAAATTTGCCAATGACACCAAAATAGGCCGTTGAATTCATTATGATGAGGACATTAGAGCACTCCAGGAAGATTTAAATAGACTGATGCAGAGGTCAGAGAAGTGGCAGATGCAGTTTAATATAGACAAATGCAAAGTTCTAGACATTGGACAGGAAAATAACCATGCCACATGTAAACTAATAATGTAGATCTTAATATTACTGTTTGCAAAAAGGATTTGGGAATTCTGATTAGCAGTAATCTAAAACCAAGACAACAGTGCATAAGTGTTCTCAATAAAGCAAACAGAATCCATGGCTTCATATCGAGAAACATAAATAATAGGAGTCCTCAACTTGATCTTCAACTCTGTATATCCTTGGTTAGGCCTCATTTAGATTGTGCTGCACAGTTTTGGTCACTGTATTACAGAATGGATATAAATGCTCTGGAAAACGTACAAAGGAGGATGACAAAGTTGATCCCATGTATCAGAAATGTTTCCTATGAGGAGAGACTGAGGGCCCTGAATCTGCACTCTCCAGAAAGGCATAGAATTAGGGGAGATATGATTGAGGTGTATATATGGAAAACAGAAATAAATAAAGGGGCTGTAAATAGCATGCTAAAAATATCTAGCCGAGACAGGACTCACAGCAATGGTTTTAAGTTGGAAAAATTCAGATTCAGGAAGGGGGCTTTCGACATGTACACCCAACTACTATAATACCTTGTACAACTATGTATCATGTCCTAATAAAAATTATTATTATTATTAAGCACTGGTTTGGTAATAGTTGTGGATGAGTGAAACAACTCCCGAATACCGTCATAGAAGCTTAAACGTTGTGTAGTTTTAAAAATAGATTAGATAAATACATGAGTGGGTGTGGGTGGGTGTGAGTTGGACCTGACTAGCTTGTACTACTAGGTCAGATGCTGTGCCCCTTCCTTAAGTGAATGTGACCTGACCTGACTAGGTTGGGGCATTGGCTTGGGCCGGTGGGGTATTTGGACCATGAAGCCTCTTTGACTATATGCCTTGGAACATAGGAGAGATGGGTAAATAATAATTTATGCCTGAAGAATCCTGGAGGGACTGGTTCTACACCTGAAAACTGAAATCACTCCCTATGAGAAGAGACTTTGCATACAGTGCAAAATAATTCCAATAAAAATCAAGAGCATGATTAAACTTAGAGAGAACTCGTTGAGTGTCAGAGTCCCCAGAGTCTTCAGCACTCTCCTTCCATACATAAAACAAATTATCAACAGTCTTCTGGCTGTCTTCTGAAGAGAACTTGACAAGTTCCTCAGATCAAATCTGATCAGTTGGGCTGTGGTTTGTAAGATGGACTACGTACAGCCAGCAGTAATAGCCTAATTGATCAGGCATTGATTCTCCAGAAGGCATGGAAAAGTCCTGTAGATAGCCCCCAGGTACATCTTTCACTAACCATCCACTTCTTTGGTTCATGGATTTCATTATTCTTTAGAGTACTAATCTCATTGCCTTCATCCTCTACATTTCTTTTACTGTCTTCAGTACCACCAAATAAAAACCTCACATAATACTTCCTCCTGTAAAAACTCGTAATCACACATCTAGAAATTAAACCTTCAATCCTTTTTACCCCCAATTCCTGTACATAATCAAGCAAAACCTCACATAAAATAATAACTTAATAATAATTTAATTTTGCATTATATATCACTATGCATTTTATCTAAACCTCCAGGTGCATACACTCTGGTAACCTACTCATATACAACTTTACATTCTAATCCGCATAAGACTTGAATTTAAACATTTATATGCTTTTGTTATTTCTATAATTGCTGACTTAACATTACTTCTACTCCAGTGCTTCTTCTTTCAGATACACCTGAATTAATCCTATTTACTCCTCCCCATTCACCTTTCATTGTGGTGCCTTGAGGGCAGTCAAAGGCTCTTCATCCATGGAATTGAAATTACCCTCACCTTTACAAAAATTCAATGTATGTCAAAGGCCCTAAAATCTGGAACACCCTACCTGAAAATTCTAAAACTGCAGACACATTCATCACCTTCAAAACTACCATCAGAAAACATCTTATCTCCCTGATACACCCTGTCAACTAATTACAGGAATACCACCTGGTGGTTCACACTTACACTCACTCACCCATTTGACCATAAACAGAAATATCAATCTCAATCTCAAAATAATGAATCTTAACTAGTAATAAGTTGGCCTGTAATACTCCAATACTGAAACTATGTATAGTGCCAAAACAAAAGCATTCACATTGCTAAACTCACAAACTAGCATTTAGTCACTTAGCCATAATACCAACTTACCTCATAATTTTGTAATATTTTAAACTTAAGATTTAATTTAAGTCTGCTCGAAATGCCTAGCCATGCTAGGTGTTCTAGTGGTGCACTCTGTAATTATTATTTTACTACATGTAAACCACACAATAAGCAAATTCTGTAAACTCAGCATTGTAATCCTTATAGAGAATAAACTTTGAATTTGAATTTTAATTTGAACCTACCTTGGATGAAACCTGATTATCTCTCATTTCTCAGTAGTGTGCAATCCTGACAGGCTTAGCACTTCCTTATGATTATTGCACTGCTAATAATAATTATACTTGGTACTGTATAACAAAAAAGACACTATTCTGCAGTAGCAGCTGTAGCTACTACCACTACTGCAACAGTAGCAGCAATAATAATATCAACAATAATTTACAGAAGGATGGTAGCCTTGATGTCGGCCATCGTGGCTGGGCCTCGCTCACTACATTTTTTCGTCGCCCAGTTGGCAGTGAGTACTCTCTTCTACCTGTCCTCTCCTCAGCCTGCTCTTCTCTTTTTCTCTCATACTCCTGATGCACTATCTTCACTCTTTCTTCCTCTCAGCTTTTATTCTTGCTGTGGTGAGTATCTTCAGTTATTGTCTCTTCAAGCCTAGTCTCCTTTAATCTTCCTTTTTTAAGTGTATAGTCTGTGTTCACTCCCTTTATGTATATCCTGTGTTCACCCCTATTTGTGTATAGCCTGTGTTCACCCCCTTTATGTATAGCCTGTGTTCACCACCTTTATGTATAGCCTTTGTTCACCACCTTTGTGGAACCTGTGTTCACCCCTTTTATGTATAGCCTGTGTTCACTATCTTCATGTATAGCCTATGTTCACCACCTTTATGTAATAGCCTGTGTTCACCCCCTTTATGTGTAGTCTATATGGTCACACTTTTCAACACAAGCTTGTGTTTTGCAGGAGTTGTCGCGGTACCCTGATGCTCCTGTTAGTATGGGCGAGGATTTTCTCTTCACTTTTGCACTGCGGAGTTTGGTGAGCCGCAACCATCACAGCAACTTTCATTTGTTTGATGACTTCTTCCTTCGACGGGAGAACCAGATGGTCTATGAGGAGGTGAGGGAGTTCTTTATAGATCACAGATACAAATACTATCAGCCAGCTAGTTCATTTAAACTGTGTAAACCACAGATCTCATCAGAGTAAGAGAGATGATAAGAACAGTTACCACAGACATTGATGACCTGAATGTTTACCACAGACACTGGTGGACCCAAATGTTTGCCACAGACACTGGTGGACCTGAATGTTTATCACAGACACTGTTGGACCTGAATGTTTACCATAGACAATGATGGACCTGAATGCTTACCACAGACACTGATGAACCTGAATGTTCACTGTAGACACTGATGGACCTGAATGTTTACCACAGGCACTGATGGACCTGAATGTTTACCACAGACATTGATGGACCCGAATGTTTACCGCAGACACTGATGGACCCGAATGTTTACCACAGACACTGATGGACCTGAATGTTTGCCACAGACATTGATGGACCTGAATATTTACCACACACTGATGGTCCTGAATGTTTACCACAGACACTGATGGACCTGAATGTTTACCACATTCATAAAGCAAGGTATACCAGTGTATACCAGACACTCAACAGGGTATATCAGAGATGCTCAACAGGGTGTACCAGAGACAGTAGGGTATACCAGAGACACTCAACAGGGTGTACCAGTCACACTCAACAGGGTGTACCACACACTCAACAGGGTGTACCAGAGACACTCAACAGGGTGTACCAGAGACACTCAACAGGGTGTACCAGAGACACTCAACAGGGTTTACCAGAGACACTCAACAGGGTGTACCAGAGACACTCAGCAGGGTATACCAGAGACACTCAACAGGGAATACCAGAGACACTCAATGGGGTATACCAGAGACACTCAACAGGGTGTACCAGAAACACTCAACAGGGTATACCAGAGACAATAGGGTATACCAGATACACTCAGCAGGGTGTACCAGAGACACTCAACAGGGTATACCAGAGACACTCAACAGGGTGTACCAAAGACACCCAACAGGGTATACAAGAGACACACAACAGGATATAGAAGAGACACTTAACAGGGTATACCAGAGACACTCAACAGGGTGTACCAGAGACACAACAGGGTGTACTAGAGACACACAACAGGGTGTACCAGAGACACACAACAGGGTGTACCAGAGACACACAACAGGGTGTACCAGAGACACACAACAGGGTGTACCAGAGACACACAACAGGGTGTTTACCTGGAGTTTACCTGGAGAGAGTTCCGGGGGTCAATGCCCCCGTGGCCCGGTCTGTGACCAGGCCTCCTGGTGGATCAGAGCCTGATCAACCAGGCTGTTGCTGCTGGCTGCACACAAACCAACGTACGAGCCACAGCCCGGCTGGTCAGGAACCGACTTTAGGTGCTTGTCCAGTGCCAGCTTGAAGACTGCCAGGGGTCTGTTGGTAATCCCCCTTATGTATGCTGGGAGGCAGTTGAACAGTCTTGGGCCCCTGACACTTATTATATGGTCTCTTAACGTGCTAGTGACACCCCTGCTTTTCATTGGGGGATGTTGCATCGTCTGCCAAGTCTTTTGCTTTCGTAGTGAGTGATTTTCGTGTGCAAGTTCGGTACTAGTCCCTCTAGGATTTTCCAGGTGTATATAATCATGTATCTCTCCCGCCTGCGTTCCAGGGAATACAGGTTTAGGAACCTCAAGCTCTCCAGTAATTGAGGTGTTTTATCTCCGTTATGCGCGCCGTGAAGGTTCTCTGTACATTTTCTAGGTCAGCAATTTCACCTGCCTTGAAAGGTGCTGTTAGTGTGCAGCAATATTCCAGCCTAGATAGAACAAGTGACCTGAAGAGTGCCATCATGGGCTTGGCCTCCCTAGTTTTGAAGGTTCTCATTATCCATCCTGTCATTTTTCTAGCAGATGCGATTGATACAATGTTATGGTCCTTGAAGGTGAGATCCTCCGACATGATCACTCCCAGGTCTTTGACGTTGGTGTTTCGCTCTATTTTGTAACCAGAATTTGTTTTGTACTCTGATGAAGATTTAATTTCCTCGTGTTTACCATATTTGAGTAATTGAAATTTCTCATCGTGAACTTCATATTGTTTTCTGCAGCCCACTGAAAGATTTGGTTGATGTCCGCCTGGAGCCTTGCAGTGTCTGCAATGGAAGACACTGTCATGCAGATTCGGGTGTCATCTGCAAAGGAAGACACGGTGCTGTGGCTGACATCCTTGTCTATGTCGGATATGAGGATGAGGAACAAGATGGGAGCGAGTACTGTGCCTTGTGGAACAGAGCTTTTCACTGTAGCTGCCTCGGACTTTACTCTGTTGACGACTACTCTCTGTGTTCTGTTAGTGAGGAAATTATAGATCCATCAACCGACTTTTCCTGTTATTCCTTTAGCACGCATTTTGTGCGCTATTACGCCATGGTCACACTTGTCGAAGGCTTTTGCAAAGTCTGTATATATTACATCTGCATTCTTTTTGTCTTCTAGTGCATTTAGGACCTTGTCATAGTGATCCAATAGTTGAGACAGACAGGAGCGACCTGTTCTAAACCCATGTTGCCCTGGGTTGTGTAACTGATGGGTTTCTAGATGGGTGGTGATCTTATTTCTTAGGACCCTTTCAAAGATTTTTATGATATGGGATGTTAGTGCTATTGGTCTGTAGTTCTTTGCTGTTGCTTTACTGCCCCCTTTGTGGAGTGGGACTATGTCTGTTGTTTTTAGTAACTGTGGGATGACCCCCGTGTCCATGCTCCCTCTCCATAGGATGGAAAAGGCTCGTGATAGGGGCCTCTTGCAGTTCTTGATGAACACGGGGTTCCATGAGTCTGGCCCTGGGGCAGAGTGCATGGGCATGTCATTTATCGCCTGTTCGAAGTCATTTGGCGTCAGGATAACATCAGATAGGCTTGTGTTAATCAAATTTTGTGGCTCTCTCATAAAAAATTCATTTTGATCTTCAACTCTCAGTCTGGTTAGCAGCTTGCTAAAAACTGAGTCATATTGGGACTTGAGTAGCTCACTCATTTCCTTGCTGTCATCTGTGTAGGACCCATCTTGTTTAAGTAGGGGCCCAATAATGGACGTTGTTCTCGACTTTGATTTGGCATAGGAGAAGAAATACTTTGGGTTTCTTTCGATTTCATTTATGGCTTTTAGTTCTTCCCGCGATTCCTAACTCCTATAAGATTCTTTTAGTAAATAACAAAAAGGCACAATACCGTGACTGGAACGATACACAAATAACCCGCACATAAAAGAGAGAAGCTTACGACGACGTTTCGGTCCGACTTGGACCATTGACAAAGTCACATTGTGTGACTTTGTCAATGGTCCAAGTCGGACCGAAACGTCGTCGTAAGCTTCTCTCTTTTATGTGCGGGTTATTTGTGTAAGATTCCTTTAGCTTAAGTTCGATGCTTGCTATTTCTCTGACCAGTGTCTCCCTACGCATTTCAGATATATTGACCTCTTTTAGCCGCTCTGTTATTCTTTTCTGTCGCCTGTAAAGGGAGCGCCTGTCTCTTTCTATTTTACATCTACTTCTCCTTTTTCTTAGAGGAATAAGCCTTGTGCATACATCAAGTGCCACCAAGTTAATCTGTTCTAGGCATAAGTTGGGGTCTGTGTTGCTTAGTATATCTTCCCAGCTTATATCGGTTAGGACTTGGTTTACTTGGTCCCACTTTATGTTTTTGTTATTGAAGTTGAATTTGGTGAATGCTCCCTCGTGACTAGTCTCATTATGTCAGTCTGGGGCTCCATGCATACATGTCTGAACCTCAATTATGTTGTGATCTGAGTATATTATTTTTGATATGGTGACATTTCATATCAGATCATCATTGTTAGTGAAGATGAGGTCTAGTGTATTCTCCAGTCTAGTAGGCTCTATTATTTGCTGGTTTAAATTGAATTTTGTGCAGGGTGTACCAAAGACACCCAACAGGGTATACCAGAGACACACAACAGGATATAGAAGAGACACTTAACAGGGTATACCAGAGACACTCAACAGGGTGTAAAAGAGACACAACAGGGTGTACCAGAGACACACAACAGGGTGTACCAGAGACACACAACAGGGTGTACCAGAGACACACAACAGGGTGTACCAGAGACACACAACAGGGTGTACCAGAGACACACAACAGGGTGTACCAGAGACACACAACAGGGTGTACCAGAGACACACAACAGGGTATACCAGTGTATGCCAGAGATGCTCAACAGGGCATACCAGTGTATGCCAGAGAGAATAAGGCATACCAGTGTATTATTCTTTTAGTTTTTGAAAGAGTATATGTTTTTATTGCTGTTGTAAATGTTGATGTAGAACAACATAGTGAAGTGAGAACTAAAGAAGGAATGTGTAGAAGGAAGAAAGTTCTAGTAATATGTTGTATGTAAACTAGAGTTTGGTCATCCTGAATGTTTGTAGATGCTTCTACATCAAGGCAGTCACAGCTGATTGTAGTTGCTTCTACATCAAGGCAGTCACTGCTGATTGTAGTTGCTTCTACATCAAGGCAGTCACTGCTGATTGTAGTTGCTTCTACATCAAGGCAGTCACTGCTGATTGTAGTTGCTTCTACATCAAGGCAGTCACTGCTGATTGTAGTTGCTTCTACATCAAGGCAGTCACTGCTGATTGTAGTTGCTTCTACATCAAGGCAGTCACTGCTGATTGTAGTTGCTTCTACATCAAGGCAGTCACTGCTGATTGTAGTTGCTTCTTCATCAAGGCAGTCACTGCTGATTGTAGTTGCTTCTTCATCAAGGCAGTCACAGCTGATTGTAGATGCTTCTACATCAAGGCAGTCACTGCTGATTGTAGTTGCTTCTACATCAAGGCAGTCACTGCTGATTGTAGTTGCTTCTTCATCAAGGCAGTCACTGCTGATTGTAGTTGCTTCTTCATCAAGGCAGTCACAGCTGATTGTAGTTGCTTCTTCATCAAGGCAGTCACAGCTGATTGTAGTTCCTTCTTCATCAAGGCAGTCACTGCTGATTGTAGTTGCTTCTTCATCAAGGCAGTCACAGCTGATTGTAGTTCCTTCTTCATCAAGGCAGTCACTGCTGATTGTAGTTGCTTCTTCATCAAGGCAGTCACTGCTGATTGTAGTTGCTTCTTCATCAAGGCAGTCACAGCTGATTGTAGTTGCTTCTACATCAAGGCAGTCACTGCTGATTGTAGTTGCTTCTTCATCAAGGCAGTCACTGCTGATTGTAGTTGCTTCTTCATCAAGGCAGTCACAGCTGATTGTAGTTGCTTCTTCATCAAGGCAGTCACAGCTGATTGTAGTTGCTTCTTCATCAAGGCAGTCACAGCTGATTGTAGTTGCTTCTACATCAAGGCAGTCACAGCTGATTGTAGTTGCTTCTACATCAAGGCAGTCACAGCTGATTGTAGTTGCTTCTACATCAAGGCAGTCACTGCTGATTGTAGTTGCTTCTTCATCAAGGCAGTCACTGCTGATTGTAGTTGCTTCTACATCAAGGCAGTCACTGCTGATTGTAGTTGCTTCTACATCAAGGCAGTCACTGCTGATTGTAGTTGCTTCTTCATCAAGGCAGTCACAGCTGATTGTAGTTGCTTCTACATCAAGGCAGTCACTGCTGATTGTAGTTGCTTCTTCATCAAGGCAGTCACTGCTGATTGTAGTTGCTTCTTCATCAAGGCAGTCACTGCTGATTGTAGTTGCTTCTACATCAAGGCAGTCACAGCTGATTGTAGTTGCTTCTGCATCAAGGCAGTCACTGCTGATTGTAGTTGCTTCTTCATCAAGGCAGTCACTGCTGATTGTAGTTGCTTCTACATCAAGGCAGTCACTGCTGATTGTAGTTGCTTCTGCATCAAGGCAGTCACTGCTGATTGTAGTTGCTTCTTCATCAAGGCAGTCACTGCTGATTGTAGTTGCTTCTACATCAAGGCAGTCACTGCTGATTGTAGTTGCTTCTTCATCAAGGCAGTCACTGCTGATTGTAGTTGCTTCTGCATCAAGGCAGTCACAGCTGATTGTAGTTGCTTCTACATCAAGGCAGTCACTGCTGATTGTAGTTGCTTCTTCATCAAGGCAGTCACAGCTGATTGTAGTTCCTTCTTCATCAAGGCAGTCACTGCTGATTGTAGTTGCTTCTACATCAAGGCAGTCACAGCTGATTGTAGTTGCTTCTGCATCAAGGCAGTCACTGCTGATTGTAGTTGTTCCTTCATCAAGGCAGTCACTGCTGATTGTAGTTGTTCCTTCATCAAGGCAGTCACTGCTGATTGTAGTTGCTTCTACATCAAGGCATTCACAGCTGATTGTAGTTGCTTCTTCATCAAGGCAGTCACTGCTGATTGTAGTTGCTTCTTCATCAAGGCAGTCACAGCTGATTGTAGTTGCTTCTTCATCAAGGTAGTCACAGCTGATTGTAGTTGCTTCTTCATCAAGGCAGTCAGAACTGATTGTAGTTGCTTCTTCATCAAGGCAGTCACAGCTGATTGTAGTTGCTTCTTCATCAAGGCAGTCACAGCTGATTGTAGTTGCTTCTTCATCAAGGCAGTCACAGCTGATTGTAGTTGCTTCTTCATCAAGGCAGTCACAGCTGATTGTAGTTGCTTCTTCATCAAGGCAGTCACTGCTGATTGTAGTTGCTTCTACATCAAGGCAGTCACTGCTGATTGTAGTTGCTTCTTCATCAAGGCAGTCACTGCTGATTGTAGTTGCTTCTTCATCAAGGCAGTCACAGCTGATTGTAGTTGCTTCTACATCAAGGCAGTCACAGCTGATTGTAGTTGCTTCTTCATCAAGGCAGTCACAGGTGATTGTAGTTGCTTCTTCATCAAGGCAGTCACAGCTGATTGTAGTTGCTTCTACATCAAGGCAGTCACTGCTGATTGTAGTTGCTTCTTCATCAAGGCAGTCACAGCTGATTGTAGTTGCTTCTACATCAAGGCAGTCACAGCTGATTGTAGTTGCTTCTTCATCAAGGCAGTCACAGCTGATTGTAGTTGCTTCTTCATCAAGGCAGTCACTGCTGATTGTAGTTGCTTCTTCATCAAGGCAGTCACTGCTGATTGTAGTTGCTTCTATATCAAGGCAGTCACTGCTGATTGTAGTTGCTTCTTCATCAAGGCAGTCACAGCTGATTGTAGTTGCTTCTACATCAAGGCAGTCACAGCTGATTGTAGTTGCTTCTACATCAAGGCAGTCACAGCTGATTGTAGTTGCTTCTTCATCAAGGCAGTCACAGCTGATTGTAGTTGCTTCTTCATCAAGGCAGTCACAGCTGATTGTAGTTGCTTCTTCATCAAGGCAGTCACAGCTGATTGTAGTTCCTTCTTCATCAAGGCAGTCACTGCTGATTGTAGTTGCTTCTTCATCAAGGCAGTCACAGCTGATTGTAGTTGCTTCTACATCAAGGCAGTCACAGCTGATTGTAGTTGCTTCTTCATCAAGGCAGTCACAGCTGATTGTAGTTCCTTCTTCATCAAGGCAGTCACTGCTGATTGTAGTTGCTTCTTCATCAAGGCAGTCACAGCTGATTGTAGTTGCTTCTTCATCAAGGCAGTCACAGGTGATTGTAGATGCTTCTACATCAAGGCAGTCACTGCTGATTGTAGTTGCTTCTTCATCAAGGCAGTCACAGCTGATTGTAGTTGCTTCTACATCAAGGCAGTCACAGCTGATTGTAGTTGCTCCTTCATCAAGGCAGCCACAGCTGATTTTAGATGCTTCTATATCAAGGCAGTCAGAACTGATTGTAGTTGCTTCTTCATCAAGGCAGTCTCAGCTGATTGTAGTTGCTTCTTCATCAAGGCAGTCACAGCTGATTGTAGTTGCTTCTTCATCAAGGCAGTCTCAGCTGATTGTAGTTGCTCCTTCATCAAGGCAGCCACAGCTGATTTTAGATGCTTCTATATCAAGGCAGTCAGAACTGATTGTAGTTGCTTCTTCATCAAGGCAGTCTCAGCTGATTGTAGCTGCTTCTACATCAAGGCAGTCGGAGCTGATTATAGATGTTTCTACATCAAGGCAGTCTCAGCTGATTGTAGTTGTTTCTACATCAGTGCAGTAATATGTATCTTTCTTTCAACACACCGGCCGTATCCCACCGAGGCGGGGTGGCCCAAAAGGAAAAACGAAAGTTTCTCCTTTTGCATTTAGTAATATATACAGGAGAAGGGGTTACTAGCCCCTTGCTCCTGGCATTTTAGTTGACTCTTACAACACGCATGGCTTACGGAGGAAGAATTCTGTTCCACTTCCCTATGGAGATAAGAGGATATAAACAAGACCAAGAACTAGAAGGAAAATAGAAGAAAACCCAGAGGGGTGTGTATATATATGCTTGTACATGTATGTGTTGTGTGACCTAAGTGTAAGTAGAAGTAGCAAGACGTACCTGAAATCTTGCATGTGAATGAAACAGAAAAAGAGACTCCAGCAATCCTACCATCATGTAAAACAATTACAGGCTTCCGTTTTACACTCACTTGGCAGGACGGTAGTACCTCCCTGGGCGGTTGCTGTCTACCAACCTACTACCTAGGAGTAATATGTATATAAATAATTAATATAATTTTGAACAATTTCTACTTGTAAACTAAATTTTAAAATTTCATAAGCTACCATTTATCCTTATCCAATTTGTCAATTATTATTTTATTTTTTGCGGATAATTTTTTTAATTTGTATCTTAAATATTATTATTTTAATGTCCTGTCAGTATTTAGTTTTAGACCCATAAGTATACAAAAATTCCACATCTGTATTTAAGCATCTTTAAACCTTAACACCTCTCTAAGATTGCTTAAAATACTCTATATGGTATTATTGCCTTTGAACTTATTACTCCATACGTATGTATAAAGAACTGAAATAAATTATGATTATTATTATGGTAGTAGCCATGGTAGCCCTTTCTTTTACCTCCTCCTGTTTTATAAGTCTTTGCTTTGTGATACCATGGTAAAGATTGAAAAAGTTTGACATCGAGTACCATACTGTACAATAAATAGTTTTCAAAACTTAAAACAATGTATACAAAGAGAGAGTGAAAAACACTGAAATTGCTCTTATTATCAACTGAATGGGGGACATGTAACAACCAGTACCGGAGTATGAGTTCTTATGCCTTTCAGTAATGTTCATCACTTTTCAATACTATATTGACATCATGCAAACTTTTGATGGTGGCAGCTGGTCGACTTCTTACTGCAGCAGAATCCCCCAGCTGTGGCAGGTGTGGCTGCACTTCTGGAGGGGCTGAAGGATGTGGCACCTCAGCTGTTTGAACGTCTCCTGCAGAAGAGTGGTCCTCACCTCTCCCCTGAAGCCTCCTGTGAAAATGGAGACCATGCAGAGGTTATTAACCTTATTTATTGTCAACAAATTTAATTGTTTTTAAGTTAATAAATACATACAGGAGGGCCCCGCTTTATAGCTCTTTGTTTTATAGTGTTTCGCTAATACAGGGGTTTTCAGTTATATCCATTCTTCATTTATTTGGACTTCCTACAATAAATATATTCACCACTTACAATAAGCTAAGGACAAAAATATTTTAAGTAATGTGTGTGTACTGTATATGCATTTTTTAGTCCTAGCTATATTGTTCACTTAATATATGATAGTGTAAACATGTTATCAAGCTTTTATATGCACTTTATATGTGTGTGAAAGCCTGCTGTAAAGCAATTTTTATTTTACAGCAGTAGCTGAGAATCTAACCTGCTGTATAATTGAGGCCCTCCTGTACATATACAGCCTCTCCTCACTTAGCGATGTACTCGTTTACCAATGTCTCGAACTTACAACAGGCTCTCTAACCAGTGTGCATACCTAAATAATGTATGTTAGAGTGGATTTCCTATATTCTGTTTATTACAATATACAGTACACTACTGTATAAACATATAAAAATATACCAGAAATGTTATAAATGATGCAAAGGTGACATTAAAACAATATCAGAGGTGGTTGACACAAACCCACTACCATTATAGTATGCTCCTCACTTAGTGATGAATGCATTTATCTATGTGGTTTTAGGAACAGAACTCCATTGTTAAGTGAGGGGAGGCTGTATGTATATTTTTTAACACACCAACCATCTCCTACTAAGGTAAGGTGACCCGAGTAAGGAGAACTGAAAGCTTTCCTTCTCTTTACATTTATTAATTTATACAGGAGGAAGGATTACTAGCCCCTTGCTCCCAGCATTTTAGGCACCTCTTATGACATGGATGGTTTACAGAGGAAGAAGCATGAGTAAAGTAACATTTTGTGAAGGGATTCAGGGCAGACTGGTTAGCCAGACTTGAGTCCTGGAGGTGGGAAGTACAGTGCCTGCATTTTGTAACACTTGCTGTCTCCCACTGAGGTAGGGTGACCTGAAAAAGAAACACTTACTATCATTCACACTATCACTGTCTTGCTAGAGGCATGTGGATATGACAGATCAGGTATTCCCATCCCCCCCAACAGCAGTATACCCACCCCTCCTTTAGAATGCAGGCACTATACTTTCCACCTCCAGGACTCAAGTCTGGCTAACTGGTTTCCCTTCATAAAATGTTACCTTGCTAACACTAATGCGCATGCACACACGCACGCACTCATGCCCGCCTGTCTGCCTGCGTGCCTGCATGCCTGCTGGATGTCCAAGCCCCCTGACACACAAAACATCCTGTGCCCTCCCTCCAGTCTTTCCTAGGGAAACCCTTACCCTGTCTTCCCTTCACTACAGATTTATACACTCTCCAAGTTATCTTTTTTTGCCCCAACCTCTCAAAATGTCTAAACCACCTCAACAACCCCTCTTCAGCCTTCTGAATAATACTTTTAGTAACCTGCACCTCCTAATCTCCAAACTATGAATTACCTGCAAAATGTTTACACCACACATTGCCCTCAGACATGACATCTCCACTGCCTCCAGCCTCCTCCTCACTGCAACTATGCTTCACATCCATATATGAGTGTTGGTACCACTATACTCTCATTCATTCCTCTTTTTGCCTCCGTACACAACGTTCTTTTTCTCCACAGGCTCCTCAGTGCACCACTCGCCTTCATTTTCCCTGACAAAATCTATGGTTCACCTCATCGTTCATAGACCCATCTGCCGACAAGTCCACTTCCAAAAATCTAAACACATTCACTTCCTTCATTCTCCCTCCTTCCAGTCTAATATCCAATCTATCTCTTATACAAGGATAAATAAGGTTTCATGTAACCTATTCACCAATAATTTAATAACTGAAACAGGGATTACAGTAAACTCTCCATGTGTATTCAGTATACTCTTCAAATCATAACTGGGAACTGGGAAGTAATCAGGTGTAATTAGAGGAAGGGGAGGGTAGTTACAGTTCCTTGAATAAAGAGCATTTCACTAGCATTAAGGAACCCTCCCTTGAAGGAAGAATAGAGGAGTGAGAGAGTTAACTTAGAGGCTGGGTGTTGCAGGCAGTGCGACTTTTGAGGAGTGTGTGTGGGCTGAGTGTTCGTCCTGTGGGATACGTCGCCTCACTCAGACCCTGCTTTGCCAACGACAATGTGGATGTGGTGGTTGCTGCCATGGACACCTTGGCTACAGTTGATTGTAGCATACAGGTGAGCACCACAGGTGGTGTAAAGGTAAGTACTGTATCACCACCTATGTTAGGGATGGTAAGTCATGTACTGGTGAGCACCATATGTGGTGCCAAGTAAAGCAATACAGCAGTAGATGGGTGGTGTCATGGGAGCACCACAGGTTAGGTAAAAGGACACAAGTGCAACTAATGTGACATTTCATTGTGGCAATGTTTCGCTCTCCAGGAGCTTTATCAAGTCATTACGGCTCAATAAATCTGTAACAGTGTCAGTAATTCTGCCAACATTAATAGCACCACAGGTGTCAAGGGAGCACCACAGGTGGTAGTAACCCTTTCACTGTCTAGACCTCGAAAATGAGTATTGCTCTCAGTGTCCACTTTTTTAAGAAATGGTTCTAAAAAGGTAGGAATTTTTTTCTGAAGGTAATGACACCAAAAATATGAAATTTGATGGAAAACTTAGGGAATCACAGAGGTACAAAATTAGCAGTCTTGATGCAATTTATTCATTGGCAATTTTGTCCACTTTGATTTGATTTGATTTGCTGCTCACAGGAGATTTCAACATAAATGTACTATATGACCAGGACCCACAAGTAACCAAATTCACAAACACCATGAGCAACTGCTTGTTGCTACCAACAATAACAAAACCTATAAGAATCTCTGAGACTTGTATCTCCTTATTATGCCACATCTGGACTAACACCATATCCCCTTTCAAACCAGGCATAATCACAGACAACACCACAGACCACTACCTCTAAGTTTGCCCGAAATGCCTTGCCAGATGTCTGGGGGTAACACCACAGGTGGTGTCTGGGGGTAACACCACAGGGGGTGTATGAGGGGAACACCACAGGTGGTGTCCGGAGAAAGAACACCACAGGTGGTGTCTGGGGGAGAATACCACAGGTGGTGTCTTGGGGGAACACCACAGGTGGTGTCTGGGGAGAACATCACAAGTGGTGTCTAGGGGGGGAACACCACAGGTGGTGTCTTGGGGGGACACCACAGGTGGGTGTCTGGGGGAGAACATCACAAGTGGTGTCTAGGGGGGGGAACATCACAGGTGGTGTCTGGGGGGAACACCACAGGTGGTGTCTGGGGGGAACACCACAGGTGGTGTCTGGGGGAACCCACCACAGGTGGTGTCTGGGGGGAACACCACAGGTGGTGTCTGGGGGGAACACCACAGGTGGTGTCTGGGGGGAACACCACAGGTGGTGTCTGGGGGGAACACCACAGGTGGTGTCTGGGGGGAACACCACAGATGGTGTCTGGGGGGAACACCACAGGTGGTGTCTGGGGGGAACACCACAGGTGGTGTCTGGGGGGAACACCACAGGTGGTGTCTGGGGGGAACACCACAGGCTTTGAATATTGTGACAGCATAATTAAGGCTACACTTGGAATAGTACCTAACTCATAAATACCTGAGGGTAGATGAAATTGTTTTTATTTTTAAGTTCATATTAATTCCATTTATTTGACTCTTGGAAAATAAAAATAAAACTACCGGGTATGTTAATTTTAAATATAGTACAGGTCCTCCCTCACAAATCCGGCATCACTGGGACCTGTAGTGTGCCGGACTACTGAGTTTGCCGAATTACAGAGTGGTTAGGTTAGAATACACTTAATAAAATTAACCAACTTGACTTACACAGTTCATTGAACATCGGCAAAAATCGAACATTTCTGCTACTTTGAGCTCAATTTCAAGGTACTTTTCGTCATGAAAGCAATCAAAATCATGTCTATTTCTGTAATATATCTTCCATTCTATCAAATGAGTCCAAAAAATGAGAATGCAACCATAAAAACCATACGAAAATATACTGCAAAGAGGCGGCTAATGGCTGAGAAGTTAACTCCCTTATTTATCGTCCGTCTTTTTTTATTTTTGTTGCACGTTAAGAAGCATCTTTCCATCACACATTGCCCAAGTTTCAATGAGATAGCCCAACAAACAACCGAGAAAAAAAATATTTACCAAAAATCACATATGGCAAGCCCAAGCCAGGTACTGGAAATAAGTCACTTTGTCTGACTTTTCTGGGTTATCCTAGGTTCTATATACATACGCTGCTATGTATGATAATCTTTGTAACTGTATTTGTGTATACCTGAATAAACTTATTTACTTCTAGTCTGTCAACTGAGTACAAGAAACCGCCCATTCACTTATTTCAACTACCCAATAAAGTGGTCAGAAATTGGCAATTTGGCCGATTTCACACAAATTTCAACAGATGCCAATTTCAAAATAGGGTCCAGAATAAACAATGCAGACATTCCTGGCACTAAAATAACATTTTCTCTGTTCATTAGTCATGGCTACAGGCCCCTCTTATATTACTCTTGCTTACCATTTGGAATTTTTATTCACAAAAAAAAAAAATAGAAGATTTACTGTTATGCAACTACTGCATTATTGTAATAATTGTGTAAATAATGTCAATCCATTCTTGGCTCTGTACTGGAATTTAGACTGGCAGGCGGACAGGTATTGGACGGTGACGTCATTTGTTTACTCTTGAGCTTCGCTAAAGAATAGAACATTTTCGCTACTGTGAGCACAATTTCAAGGTACTTTTCATCATGAAAGCAATCAAAATCATATCTATTTCTGTAATATATCTTTCATTCTATCAAATGAGACTGAAAAAATGAAAATATAACCACAACAACCATACAAAAATATACCGCTAAGCGGCCACTAATGGCTGAGAAGTGAACTCCGCTATTTATGGTTTGATTTCTTTCATTTTTGGTGTACATGAAGAAGTATCTTTCAATCATACATTGCCCAAGTTTGAATAAGATAACCCAAGATAACCTAGGAAAGGTTGGAGGGAGGGGGTAAAGGAGGTTTTGTGTGTGAGGGGCTTGGACTTCCAGCAGGCGTGCGTGAGCGTGTTTGATAGGAGTGAATGGAGACGAATGGTTTTTAATACTTGACGTGCTGTTGGAGTGTGAGCAAAGTAACATTTATGAAGGGTTTCAGGGAAACCGGCAGGCCGGACTTGAGTCCTGGAGATGGGAAGTACAGTGCCTGCACTCTGAAGGAGGGGTGTTAATGTTGCAGTTTAAAAACGGTAGTGTAAAGCACCCTTCTGGCAAGACAGTGATGGAGTGAATGATGGTGAAAGTTTTTCTTTTTCGGGCCACCCTGCCTTGGTGGGAATCAGCCAGTGTGATAATAGAAAAAAAAATAAATAAAAATAATATCTTTATTTACTACACATACATGTACAAGGTATACAGGCCTAGCTGACATCAGTGACATACTACTGTATAGAAAGGCACTTGTTATGCTGAGTATTTCAAGAAAATTAGGTCAGTGTCCCAGGATAACACCCACACTAGTCGACTAACACCCAGGTACCCATTTACTGATGGGTAAACTTAGACAACAGGTGTAAAGAAACACACCTAATGTTTCTACCCTGGCTGGGAATCGAATATTTACCAAAAATCATATATGGCTAACCCAAGCCAGGTACTAAAAATAAGCCACATTGACTTTTTTGGGGTTATCCTAGGTTCTCTACACACATGCTGCTATATGTGATAATCTATATTAAGAAAATAACTTTTTGTTTTATGTTTATGGTGGAGTACGAGTGTATATCATAGTTAGCCCTGTGCTATACTCCGTTTTCTCTTATATAAGCCCTCAAGACAAAGATAGGAGAATGGTATTTGTTTACCATATCCTCTTCATAACTCTGTCGAACTGCTCGGTGTTATGCCAAATATTATTCATTCTGGAGTATTTAACATGTTTTATGTTATTTATATTGTTTCTTATGTCATATTAGATCAATTGTGATAGGCAAATAAGCTGTGTTGATATTAGCGTAATAATAAAGCATATTCTCCTGCTTCATGAGATTGAGTTCATGGCAACCAACAGTGGCTTCAAAGCCACCTTATCTTTAATGGATAATGTACTGTGTAGGTGCTTAACATAATGAGAAGCATTTCTTTTATTCATTGGAACCATGGCTAGGACTAAAAGTAAGCAGGTTAAAACAATAAATGGAGAAAAAGAAATTGGAATGACTTATGCAGCAAGTAGCGCCACCAAACAGTAGCAGCAGGTTGGTGTGGCGACCCTGGAAATTTGAAATTATGCTAGCCAAAATTAGTGCCGAATAACTGAAGGAACTGAATAACTGATTGCCGGATTTGTGATGGCGGACCTGTATAGTCTAAGTTGTGCCTGAAATGCTATGTCTCCTTTTGGCCTTCAGATTATTGTATGATTTATATAGTTATTTTTGAAATAAAGATTTTTATTTATTTTTTTTTTTTTTGAATTGTTGATACCATGCGTTTAAGGCAGGTTATATACATGGTATATGATGAGAAACTAAAAAAGTATTACAGCCCTAGTGGGATTGTAAGTATGTAAATATGATTTATTTATGTAATAGTTTGAAGATAAAGTATTAAATGGTTTAATGATTTGTGGTATTGACATCACTTTCATTTTGCTATGTACTGTTTTGTGATAGAGTAAGGTTCATAGGAAAGAGTGAACCCAGTAGTGGCCAAAGGAAAAACAGGGTCAGGGAATAACTAGGTGAGAACTGGGGATTACTCACTTATGAAATATCTGATCTTTCTAGACAACAACTCTTCAAGGGAGGCCTCTTTATTCACATAACCTGAACTACCTTTCCTTTTCTTGGATTAAATCTGATTGTCTCATTGTTTATTACAGGGGGAAAAAATAGTTAACTCCCATTGCAGTTTCTCCTCTAGGAAGGTGCCTTGATGCTGGTGAGGGACTCTTCGTTCAAGAAATTATAATGACTTCTCTTCTTCCTTGGATCAAACCTGGATGCCTCTCATGCCCCAGATATGCTCTATGACCCCAATGGGTGTAATCTCTCTTATTGATTAAAATATCATTGTGATTAATTTTATAACATCTTAGCCATTCATTTTAATGTGACCCAAAGAAGGAAACCCATTTACCATCATTCATTCAGTTGTGATTAAATATTTTTGTGGCTGCATAATCATTCATTCCTCCTATACTGTAGGGTGTCACAGAGCTACAGAAGTTGGGATTGGAAAGTCCTTCAGACCCTGAGATTCGTATTGCTGCTTACCGAGGCCTGATTCACTGTATTCCTTTACGCCCGCATCTCCTCCAGACTGTCACCAAGGCTCTTGACCCCAAAGATGACAACTATTCTACTCAAGGTATGTTTTCTACATAAATGTTTCGTGTTTCCAAAGCTAGCAGATAACTTGTTAAGAAATATCTGACTAATTTTGTGTCAAAGTATATACAGTAAAACCTTAATTCAATGGATCTTGACTTACTGCATTTCAGATATAACAGGCAAAATCCTTTGTCTAGACAACATTTACTCTTTCCAGAACTATCTATATATTATTGACAGACAGTCAATACTTTCCAGAATTGTCCATTATTGTTACAATCATGGAAAAAGAATCTCATTATTCAGATATAATGGAAAATCATCATTACTAGACACCCTTTACCTCCCCTTTTGAGTCTTCTAAATTGAGGTTTCATTTGAAATAGTCTTGCTTTTTTTTAATAAATAGGCAGAATAATTAAATCTTCATTCATAGATATGGGTACATGAGATATGTGGGTTACATTACTTGTATATTTATCATTTTATTGGATTTTTAACCAGATTTTTGTATTAATAGCTATTGTACATTGTGTTAATGACATTAGTAACTACTGTACAATGTGTCACTGACATCAGTAACTACTACTTTGGTGAAGAGAGACAGTTTGTTAAGCTTTATCAAGCCATACCAGACGATATAGCACATGTCACTATGTAGGCAGGGAGGTGAAAGTACAAGAAACCAGCTAGTGATGATGTCCTTATACTCTTCTTCTCTCACAACAAGAACTAAACCAAGCATGATTTTCTCATCAGATTCTTTCTTGAGCCTTCAGAATCTGCAACCAAGAGTTCATTGAGAACAAATACCAGATCATAACTATTACCTTATCCAAGCTAAAATTTCCTTCAAATTGCAGATGCATAGCATGGAAATAAATGGTATAAAATACCGACACAATGGAAATATAAACACACATGCAGTATAATGTGATCCTTTATTGACAACGTTTCACCCACACAGTGGGCTTTTTCAAGTCACAAACAGATCTACCTGGGGTGGAAGGTACGCGAGTATTTATAGTCAGGTTCAGAATGCTGAGGTCAGGTGGAGAATGCTGCATCTGATGCTAACATAACTTTAGCATTGAGATCCTAGAGCAGAAATTCATATGTAAAACTCAAAATTTCAACAAGAGCTATGATTCATACCAATAACATCATCAAACAAATCAAGGTGTAGTTTCTCACCAGCCCTTCTGCTTAACTTGTCCCATGCAGGAACACCCACAAAATATATTGAACTCCACCTTCTACAAGCATCACTGATACATATACCATTAACAAATAATCCTTCTAGTCTTTTACTACTCACCTCCCCACCTACAAGCAACACTGATACATGTATCATAAAAGATCATTTATATACATTTTTGATCAACCCATTCTGTTCCATCCTTTCTAAATGACCAAACCATCTCAGCAACACTACCTCTCTGAATTATAGCTTTCATACCACTTCAATTTGAAGAGCAGAATTTAGATAAAGTTTTAGTCTATTCTGAATCATTATCATGTCATTACTAGTAGATTTGGTCCATTTGTGTTGTATGGGACAAATGAGTACTGGAAAATGGTAATCACTGTATTAGAAAAGGAGTAGCGCATTAAAAGCACATGATTTTACTAATTCATCTGAACTTTTTCCGTCAGTTGCTTCTTATGTGTGGAGTCACGTCCAGTCTGTGATTTCATCAGACAATCCTAGTCTATTAACTTTGCGTGAACTACTGGCCACCACTGATATTGGGTCTGAGGTACCAGACCCAGTGTGGTATGATCCACGTCAGCACTCACGGCACCTCTTCCAGACAATCCACTTGGATATCCATACAGCCATCAGCCTGACTGGGGACCTAGTGTGGGGCAGGTACTCACCTGCTCCAAGGGCATTCTACTTCAATGTTGCCCTGCATCACAATGGAGACACACATGAGCTGGCACAGGTAACTAGAACAGTCTTAGTTACACTGGCTAAACCTGATAGTTTAAAAGCAATTGTACTTTTAAACTATGCAGTATTACACAAAATTGCTCTGACATTAACATCTGAACAGTTACACAACATAGCTCTTGAGATGATACATGAGTTTCAGAAATATTAAATAGTTAACAGGTAAATAATATATGAATAGAATATAAAAATAGCCATAAAAAGACTGCATATTTCAGCTTCAATCAGAGAGAGAGAGAATGATTAAGGCCAAAATATACAGAACCTTTGTGCTGTTTATTTTCTGTTCATGTAGGATTTACTTGTTAAGGCACAGAGATTTTCAGTTCACACAATTTACATACACTGGATAATTTACACTCATTTTTACACTCATTAACACAGACTAGATGTATTTTGGTCTCTGCATGATCCAAGAAAAGGATCCATATATCTTATGAGCCTAGCTCCATCTACCTCATTGTTTGCAAATGGAATAGTGCAGAATAAGTTTCTGGTGCAGTTAAATAAGTTTCATAGTTTCTTTAAAATGTATCAACCTTTAACCCTTTGACTGTTTTGGTCGTATATATACGTCTTACGAGCCAGTGTTTCGGATGCATTAATATGCATAAATTCTAGCGGCTTCCAATCAAGCAGGAGAAAGCTGGTAGGTCCACATGTGAGAGAATGGGTCTGTATGGTCAGTGTGCACCACAGAAAAAAATCCTGAAGCACGCAGTTCATAATAAAAAAAAAACTGACCGTTTTTTTGGATTAAAATGCCGACTTTGAGGTGTATTTTCATATAGCATTTATCATTGCACAGGTCCTCCATCACAAATCAGGCATCATTGGGACCTGTAGTGTGCCGGATTACTAAGTTTGCTGGATTACAGAGTGGTTAGATTAGAATACACTTAATAAAATTAACCAACTTGACTTACACAGTTCATTAAACATCGGCAAAAATCGAACATTTCCGCTACTTTGAGCTCAATTTCAAGGTACTTTTCGTCATGAAAGCAATCAAAATCATGTCTATTTCTGTAATATATCTTCCATTCTATCAAATGAGTCCAAAGAAAATGAGAATACAACCATATAAACCATATGAAAATATACTGCAAAGAGGCAGCTAATGGCTGAGAAGTGAACTCCCTTATTTATCGTCTGTCTTTTTTATTTTTGTTGTACGTTAAGAAGCATCTTTCCATCATACATTGCCCAAGTTTCAATGAGATAGCCCAACAAATAACCGAGGAAAAAAAAATATTTACCAAAAATCATATATGGCAAGCCCAAGCCAGGTACTGGAAATAAGTCACTTTGTCTGACTTTTCTGGGTTATCCTAGGTTCTCTATACATACACTGCTATGTATGATAATCTTTGTAACTGTATTTGTGTATACCTGAATAAACTTATTTACTTCTAGTCTGTCAACTGAGTACAAGAAACTGCCCATTCACTTATTTCAACTACCCAATAAAGTGGTCAGAAATTGGCAATTTGGCCTATTTAACACAAATTTCAACAGATGCCAATTTCAAAATAGGGCCCAAAATAAACAATGCAGACATTCCTGGCACTAAAATAAAATTTTCTCTGTTCATTAGTCACGGCTACAGGCCCCTCTTATATTACTCTTGCCTTTCATTTGGAATTTTTATTCACAAAAAAATAGAATATTTACTGTTATGCAGACTGCTTCATTATTGTAATAATTGTATAAATAATGTCAATCCATTCTTGACTTCGTACTGGAATTTAGACTGGCAGGCGGACAGGTATTGGACGGTGACGTCATTTGTTTACTCTTGAGCTTCGCTAAAGAATAGAACATTTTCGCTACTGTGAGCACAATTTCAAGGTACTTTTTTTCATGAAAGCAATCAAAATCATATCTATTTCTGTAATATAGCTTTCATTCTATTAAATGAGACCGAAAAAATGAGGATTATAACCATAAAAAACATACGAAAATAGTATACCGCTAAGTGGCCACTAATGGCTGAGAAGTGAACTCCGCTATTTATGGTCTGATTTCTTTCATTTTTGGTGTACGTTAAGAAGTATCTTTCCATCATCCATTGCCCAAGTTTGAATAAGATAACCCAAAAAACAACTGAGAAAATAATAATAATATAATTTGAGGTAGTAGGTTGGTAGACAGCAACCACCCAGGGAGGTACTACTGTCCTGCCAGGTGAATGTAAAACAAAAGCCTGTAATTGTTTTACATGATGGTAGGATTGCTGGTGTTTTTTTTGTCTGTCTCATAAATATGCAAGATTACAGGTGTGTCTTGCTACTTCTACTCACACTTAGGTCACACTACACATACATGTACAAGCATATATATATACACCCCTCTGGGTTTTCTCCTATTTTCTTTTTAGTTCTTGTTCTTGTTTATTTCCTCTTATCTCCATGGGGAAGTGGAACAGAATTCTTCCTCCGTAAGCCATGCGTGTTGTAAGAGGCAACTAAAATGCCAGGAGCAAGGGGCTAGTAACCCCTTCTCCTGTATATATTACTAAATGTAAAAGGAGAAACTTTGGTTTTTCCTTTTGGGCCACCCTGCCTCGGTGGGATACGGCCGGTGTGTTGAAAGAATAATAATTCAAATTCAAATTCAAAGTTTATTCTCTATAAAGATTACAATGTTGAATTTACAGAATTTGGTTGTTGTGTGGTTTACATGTAGTTTTAAAAAATGATTACAGAGTGTACCACTAGAATGCCTACATGGCTAGGCATTTCGGGCAGACTTAGTTTAATTCTTTATTTTAAAATATTACAAATTATGAGGTAAGTTGGTATTATGGCTAAGTGACTAAATACTAGTTTGTGAGTTTAGCAATGTGAAGCTTTTGTTTTGGCACAGTACATAGTTTCAGTATTGGAGTATCATAGGATTGATTATTTTAAGATTTGAGATTAATATTTCTGTTTATGTAGGTAGTAGGTTGGTAGACAGCAACCGCCCAGGAGGTACTACCGTCCTGCCAAGTGAGTGTAAAACGAAAGCCTGTAATTGTTTACATGATGGTAGGATTGCTGGTGTCTTTTGTCTGTCTCATAAATATGCAAGATACAGGTACGTCTTGCTACTTCTACTTACACTTAGGTCACACTACACATACATGTACAAGCATATATATACACACCCCTCTGGGTTTTCTTCTATTTTCTTTCTAATTCATGTTCTTGTTTATTTCCTCTTATCTCCATGGGGAAGTGGAACAGAATTCTTCCTCTGTAAGCCATGCGTGTCGTAAGAGGCGACTAAAATGCCGGGAGCAAGGGGCTAGTAACCCCTTCTCCTGTATATATTACTAAATTTAAAAGGAGAAACTTCAGTTTTTTCTTTTGGGCCACCCCACCTCAGTGGGATACGGCTGGTAAGTTGAAAGAAGAAGAAGATTTCTGTTTATGGTCAAATGGGTGAGTGTAGTTAGTTGATGGGGTTTATCAGGGAGATAAGATGTTTTCTAATGGTAGTTTTGAAGGTGATGAATGTGTCTGCAGTTCTAGAGTTCTCAGGTAGGGTGTTCCAGATTTTAGGGCCTTTGACATACATTGAATTTTTGTAAAGGTTTAGTCGGACATGGGGAATGTCGTAGAGATGTTTGTGTCTGGTGTTATGCCTGTGGGTTCTGTCACAACTCTCAAGAAAGCGTTTTAGGTCAAGGTTGATATTGGAGTTTAAGGTCCTGTAGATGTAGATTGCACAGTAGTAAGTGTGGATGTACTGAACAGGGAGTAAGTTTAGATCTATGAAGAGTGGGGTGGGGGGTGTTGCCAGGGATGGGATTTAGTGATTATTCTTACTGCAGCTTTTTGTTGGGTTATTATTGGCTTTAGGTGTGTTGCTGCAGTTGATCCCCAAGCACAAATAGCATAGGTGAGGTATGGATAAATAAGTGAGTGGTGTAGTGTGAGAAGGGCATTTTGCGGCACGTAGTATCGTATCTTGGAGAGGATCCCAACTGTTTTGGATACTTTTTTGGTTATGTGTTGGATATGGGTGCTGAAATTCAGGTTGATGTCAAGGTATAGGCCTAGGAATTTGCCCTCATTATGTCTGGTAATTAGAGTGTTTTTTTTTTTTTATTATCACACCGGCCGATTCCCACCAAGGCAGGGTGGCCCGAAAAAGAAAAACTTTCACCATCATTCACTCCATCACTGTCTTGCCAGAAGGGTGCTTTACACTACAGTTTTTAAACTGCAACATTAACACCCCTCCTTCAGAGTGCAGGCACTGTACTTCCCATCTCCAGGACTCAAGTCCGGCCTGCCGGTTTCCCTGAATCCCTTCATAAATGTTACTTTGCTCACACTCCAACAGCACGTCAAGTATTAAAAACCATTTGTCTCCATTCACTCCTATCAAACACGCTCACGCATGCCTGCTGGAAGTCCAAGCCCCTCGCACACAAAACCTCCTTTACCCCTCCCTCCAACCCTTCCTAGGCCGACCCCTACCCCGCCTTCCTTCCACTACAGACTGATACACTCTTGAAGTCATTCTGTTTCGCTCCATTCTCTCTACATGTCCGAACCACCTCAACAACCCTTCCTCAGCCTCTGGACAACAGTTTTGGTAATCCCGCACCTCCTCCTAACTTCCAAACTACGAATTCTCTGCATTATATTCACACCACACATTGCCCTCAGACATGACATCTCCACTGCCTCCAGCCTTTCTCCTCGCTGCAACATTCATCACCCACGCTTCACACCATATAAGAGCGTTGGTAAAAACTATACTCTATAACATTCCCCTCTTTGCTCCAAGGACAAAGTTCTTTGTCTCCACAGACTCCTAAGTGCACCACTCACTCTTTTTTCCCTCATCAATTCTATGATTCACCTCATCTTTCATAGACCCATCCGCTGACAGTCCACATCCCAAATATCTGAATACGTTCACCTCCTCCATACTCTCTCCCTCCAATCTGATATTCAATCTTTCATCACCTAATTCTTTTTGTTATCCTCATAC